CCCCAAAACCCCAAAACCCCAAAACCCCAAAACCCCAATTCTGGTACAGAATGAAAAAACAATTCTTAATCTTGTAAGGAGCTGTTGGCAATAAATTTCAACCTCTGTGAAGTCTTGCTCGTCATATCTTTAGAGTTCTTGTGTTTTGGCTTGATCAACTTCTTCTTTCTACAAGCCTTCTCGTTTTTATACTTGCTGTAATAGCCTTTGGATGTGATTTTGGATGCTGTATTCAAACTCGATAAGCTAATTTACACATTTTTCAGAAATTATTCAAAACATTAAAATCTCCAAAGGAGCGAAATATCGATTTGGCTTACCTAATTTGGTATGGATAGAGGGAATAACTTCTCGATCTTTAGTAGAGCTCTTATTGATTGGGTACCCATGCTTGAGGAATCCTTGGCTTTTGTAGTATTTCGAATAAACTATATCAAGAATTTTAACCAAACTGGAATGAAATTAATTCAAAACTTTAATATAAGAAGAAGGTCCTATGAAATAAGATGGTTTAGGGGAACAACAAAATTGTTAAGTATAAGCTATAGTCTGGAATAAAAAGAGAAGAGAGAACTTAAACCATGCTCAAAAAGTACCTCAATAACCTCCATTAGTACCGGAGTAATTAATAGGTCTTAATTGAGACTTAGTAGAAATTTTAACTCTTGTACATAAACTCATTCTTGCCAGGTCAGATACTAAGAATAATAATAAGGTTATGACTTACTCCTTTCTTGATTTTCCTTATATTATGATAAAGATTTAGTCTTTTTAAAACTTTTAGGTAGGAAGAGACTTACTAGCACTTCAGAATTTGGAAATTTTTTAAAATTGCATGTTTGTTTTAATTCCAGTATTTTCCCTTGTGGTTTGAGTAGAAATTCTCCTCTGAGAAGTCTTTACTGGTGGCCTTCTTGGATCTAGAGGGGTTGATAAATTTTGGAACTGGCTTCTTCTTGGTCTCTTCGTGAAGTTCGATCTTGATCAAATGTTTCTAGAGATATTAAATAAAGCTACCTCTTTTTCTCCAGTTCAAGGTGTTTCTAATGGGCTTTGGTCACGCTTCATACTGTTTTCACCGTGATCAGAGAAAAGTTTCCTCTCAACAGCGTGGTTGCTGGTGTCAAGAAGGTTGATGTACTTGTTTGCATATCCGCTTTGGTTCAATTTATCCTCCCTTTCTACTGAGAGAGGTTCTTTTCTGTAGTTCTTAATCTGAATAGATGACTGGAAGTCATCATAGCTTTGAGTCATTGTCTGATCTAAGGATAATGCCAATACATTACTTTTAGGCTTAGTTCAAATTTGCTAAATTCATATAAAGCTTTGAGTGATTTTGAGAGAACTTTATCATTCGATTTTGACTGTGTGTGACCCTCTTACTGCTGCCTTTCCTGCTAGAAATATACTGGTGTTGAGCCCTGCTTTTATTATAAAACCCCTTTCTGCTTGATTTTGAGTAATCATTCCGACTACCGGAGGCAGAATCCTCTCTTTTTCTTGAAAGCTGATGTGACTCTTTACTGCTCTGTCTGATAACATTGACTAACCACATTGGGTCCTTATCAATTCTACGACAAGTTCTAGGAATAAAGTTGCGATCTGTTTTACTTCCAATCGTCAGAGAATTCTTTGGGTGTTGTTGGCCAGATAACTTCGCGATTTTCTGATCTTGAACCTCTTCAACAGAGTTAAGCTGGGAGTTAGCTTTCTGTAAGGCATGACTATGATTCTTATGGTCCAGAATCTCCTCGGTATCCTTCACATTTTCCTCACCTTCAACATAGCCTTTACGGGACTTCATATCAGAACATGTATGAAGCTCTGATAGCTTATTATCACTCAGTGTCGAGGAGAAGAAGTCATTCTTTGTTCTAGAGCTCAGATGTTGCCTATTTTAACGATTAAATAAAATTTGATAAATAAAATGACTCTCTTAGAAATATGAAGAGGAGTTGTATCTCTTACACTTTGTTACTGAACTCCAAGATGTTCACCTGGATGTGCTTCGGAGTATCTAATGTATTAACATGATTTGTTTGAGACATCGTAGACTTGTTTTGCTCGTTGTGGTGTTTTGAGAAAAACAATTTATCGATTTTGGAAGATAGTTCCTTCCTTTTGGATCTATCCTAAACAAGGAAATGATAAGAATTCGGTAAGCTAGGAAGTAAGGAAGAGGAAGGAAGAGTACCTGGCTTTGTTCCTTATTTTGCCTGATTGAATCAAAGAGTCCTAACTTTTTCTTCAACGGGCTATGTGTTACAAAAGATAGTATATGTACCTTTGTTTCAATTTATCAATCTTCGTACTGACCTTTTTACGAATAAATCTGGTGCTAGTAAAGCCTCTCTTTTGTGTAGCCTGTTTGAAAGATTTCGCCTTAATATCATTTTCCCGTTCTGTGGCTAATTTCCTCTCAAGGTTGCACTTATTTCAGCGTATCTGCTACAGAGGTTCTTTTAAAGTTCCTAAACTCGCTTAAAATCTTCCACAGAGATTCTTACAGAGAGTCAGTGGCGTGGGAGTTCTGGGTGCTGTTTTTGCCGAATTTCGTCCCTTTGAGTTCATTCTTCATCTCCAATTTTCTCTTACCTCCTCTCATGTAGACTGACAAGTTTGGGCTCTTCATGTTTCCTATGAATAAACAGGTTGTGCTTACAGGTAATTTGAGGAATTGGTTTTGATAAACTGTCTTAGGCATTTTTTAGAGCCTATCCTGGCGCTCTTGTGCTGATCTGACATCTTGGAGATTGCTGAATATCAATTATTTAGTAAATTTTGGGGTTTTGGGGTTTTGGGGTTTTGGGGTTTTGGGG